GGTTCATTGTCTTCCTTCTTTCTGAGGGGCAGACATTGAAAAACACAACTGAATAGGGGGTGGGGTTCTAACACCCATCGGGATCCAGTTTAAAAAAAAAAGTGGTCTGTAAACTCCCGACACATCTGACAGGGGGCAGTTGATGAGAAGACCTAATGCAACATCCGGCTTTTGTTCGCCTCTATAAGCATCTTTTAGGAAAAAGGGGACCCCAAATACAAGGGGAGGAAGCTGCTGCAACACTGATTTCTAATTAGCTCCTTCACATCAGCAGAGGAAAAGGAAAATGGGTCTGGCTACTGTTTCCTCAGAATTTGCTACTGCTTTATCTGAGGGTGAGGCATGCACACAGCCTTCTAAACGCTGTGTAGTGTACTTGGGTTCAAAAGTTCAGCAATATCTGGACAAAGGCTAGCCCTCTCCTCGGGAAGGACAGTCTGGAGGCTGCAGATGGGACTGTGGGAATTGAATCCTGCTCCTCCCACACCGACCATCTGCAAAAGCTTGGGCCTTTGCAAAGGCTCTGACCTTCAGGCCCAGAGTCTTTACTCAAACTGCACCTGCCCAGGATTAGGTTTCCTGCCTCTGAATGATGGCTTCTTTCATTGAGTCTGCAAACAGCTGTCACATGATCAAGTGGGAGCCGGGCAGAGGGAGCCAGCCTTGCAAAACGGCTGAGCAGGACACCGACTCGGGTGATTCATCTTCTAAAACCTATTCCTGAAATGCTTTTGTGTGTTGATATCACTTCTTGTTTCAGCTCACAGATAATTACAGCCTGCCAGAGACACTGCTCTAACCTGGAAAAGAGACCATCCCCATGACTCATTAGAGTGCCTAAGGATGAATGGGGCTCATTGTCTCTCCCTTTTGCCTTTGACCCCAGCGATTGCTAAATCTATGGTTTCTAACCTTGTGAAAATGAGGGGAAACTTGAAAAGGAATCTGGCAGCTCCCTGGAACATGAACCATGGCTGCATTGCTGAGATCAGCTGCACCTGCCGGTGGGACATTTTGCTAATTCAAGTGATGTGCCTGCACCATGTGGAAAACAACCCTGGATGGCCAATTCATCAGGGAGGGAAGAGACGCCCAAAGACATTTCACTGGAGACACAGCTTGAGGATGGTAGGGAATTACATGACATTTGGGAACGATATGATGAGATTCGGCCCAACAGTCCAGGTATACAAAGAAGTACATTATTATGGTCACTCACAAGCAAAGTAAAATATTACAGCAAAGGAGAAGGCCCTTTAGTCAAGCAAACTTTATAGCAATAAAGAATCACGATTTTCCTTCTAACAGAGAGTTCTGTATTCAACTGAAAGAGCTGTATCTATACACAAGTCTTCCCAATGGTTAACAGAAATAGTTATACATATAAAGAGGAAAGCAGGATGGATGAGGGATTATCTAACTGTCCCAAACCCCAGACGTCCAAATTCAATTCTGTAGTGAGAAAAATTCCAGGCAGCAGTTTCCTCCTGAGACCATGACTCCCAGGTGACCAGAATACTATTGGGGTTTTTCACATAGACAGCTGGGACAGGTCACAACTGTGTTCCTCCTACTCAGACATGCATTTGTGAGTTAACATACCAGATCAGCATGCATCAGGTGCAAGGGCAGACCAATTAAGATTTGACTACCTGGGGCTGGAGAGATGGCTCAGTGGTTAAGAGCACTGGCTGCTCTTCCAGAGGACCTAGGTTCAATTCCCAGCACCCACATGACAGTTCACAACTGTCTGTAACTCCAAGATCTGACACCCTCACACCAACATCTATGCAGTCAAAACACCAATGCACATATTAAAATAATTAAAATTAAAAAAAAAAAGATTTGACTACCCAGGCATCAGAGTTAGAGAAACAAAAATCAGGATTTAAGAAATTAATATTAAAGGGCTAGGGAGATGGCTCAGTTGGTAAAGTGTGTGATGCCTCAGCATGAGGACTTAAGTTTGGATCCCTAGCACCCTTATAAAAAGCCAAGCACAGAAGTGTGCTGCTGCTATAACCCCACCACTGGAGAGGTAGAGACCAGAAGAAACCTGCCTCTTGTTGGCCAGGCAGCATAGCTCAATCATGGTGTTCCAGGTTAGCAAGACTCTGAAAAAATAATGTGAAAATTGATAAAGACATCCATGTCTGGCCCCCATACACTCATGCATACTCATACACACATGTACACACAAATGTGCAGACATTCATCACACACACACACACACACACACACACACACACACACACACACACACACACTTTTTAAAGGCCCTTTCCATTATCCACATCTTGTTTCAAACCCTGAAAGTGCCAACCTTGGCTCTCAGCACACTCGGATGTTGCAAGGCTGACAGGAAGGAATTCCTATCTTTTGCATTAGCACTTAGTGTCTGCAAAATGTCAACTGTGGTGCCCAGGTGTTGCAAAGCGTCTGTCTTCCTCTTAAGCAACAGGATGCGACAGACTGAATGCCTGTGGGTGATTACGGCAGTGCTCAAGTGAAGGCCAAAATGACAGAACACATGAGAAATATAATAATTCTTTCAAAATGTCCTAACTGAAGTGCCTCCTTGTAGATGACAAAATGGATTTCATACATTTCAGGTTGTTGTTTTTTTTTTTTCCCCAAATGGGGGTGGGGGGAGAAAACAGGCAGATCAGTTTATTTTCTGAGCACAGCATTAATGACAAGATGACATCACCGGCAGCCAATCAGAAAGCTCTCTCGTGTCTGGTGTTCTAACACCATTTCATATTTATGGATAAGCACCAGAAGGGTGTCAACTCAGAGCTGCAGCCCCCCACCCGCCCCACTCACTTCTAAATAAAGTGCCTGCTTCCATTCAGCAGCCAAACTGAAAAGGTTTCCAAGGGGTTGGGGGAGGGGGGCTCAAAGAGTCTCTTCCTCCTCCTCACAGACTGTTTACTGACAATCCTAACTACAGGGCTGGGGGAAATGGCGAGGACCTGGACCACCGCTACCTGCATGTCCTCCAGAGTACCTGCACCGTCCTTCACCAGTGAGCTCAGCCTAGGCCTCCTTGGCAAAGCCTTAAGCACCAAAGAAGTGAGGCTGTGCACAAAGTAGGGGCTGGGGCCATCTTACACAAGAAATGGATGCTACTGACCGCTGAATTTTAAATTATCTGGTTCCCACTACATTTCCTAACCTCCTAGGTAGTTAAGAAGAAAAGTTAACCCTGTCCTAGTTAATATCAAGTCAAGACCAGACTGACAAAACAGTAGCTCAACCTACCCTTCCACCAGATCTGTGAAGGCCAGCTGTCTCTCCCATGAGCCCACGGAAGAGGGCAATGCAACCAACCAAACCTTCAGTTACCTGAGAGTGACTAGCCACAGGTGTGGCAAGAGCATCTATATTCAGCCTCAAACTACCAATCCATGTCCACAGACATGGAGAATGCATTTCAAATCCACAGAGGCATGAAAAGGGGGTGTAGCAGGGAACCCGTGAAAACTTCTGCTTAAGACACTCCATGTCCTTCTCTCACACTCCCCTGAACCCCACCTCGAGACTAACACAGCTCTTTGTTTTGTCCACACCCCTAAGCAAGCTGATGTCACCTCAGGGTCTCTGGAGCAAGCTCAAAAGTTAGAATTATAACATATCATAAAGACATTTGGCCATGAGGCAAAGGTGGCACCATCTAGACAGCTGCCCCACCACCAGGGGTGCTGGAGCCGAATCTGATGTTCTTTTCTTATCGACTGAATGATGCATAAAGAGAAAAAGGTAATAATCTGCTCAGAGCAAATTCAACATTTCCAAGCTCCCAGCGCTCTGCCACTGACCACTGGGCCCCACAGCCCACACCTACCTTGATATCAAAAGCATCCACATGAAATGACTACAGTCTGGCCCTTTACATAATTAATTTGTTTCAAAGGTAAAATTTGATAAATTGTTTCAAAGGGGGAGTAGAAGAGGAATAAGGCTCTTCACTGTGAGCTCTAAATAATTCACTAAAATAATCTAAATCCTCTCATATCCACTCGTCCAAACCAAAGTTAAACTGGGCAGAGGTGGCACAAGCCTCTAATCCTAGCACTCAGGAGGCAGAGGCAGGTGGATCTCTGTGAGTTCGAGGCCAGCTTGGTCTACAGGGTGAATTCCAGGACAACCAAGGCTACACAGAGAAACCCTAATCAAAAAGCAAAACAAAACAAAGCATCAAGAGACCCCTGCCACATCTCAGAGTTTCTACACTTTAACACAAGCCATATACACTGCAGCCCCACACAAATCTTCAGGTTCTCCACACAAGAGACAGTTGTGTGTAAAGCAAAGAAGAAAAGAATCTGACCTGTGACCTCTAAAGCCTTAGGTCATCGGGGACAAATCTGGGGGAGGGCAGTCATTGTTGTGTTTTTAAGATGCCTAATTTTAACAAGGCACAGTGGGAGAGGGGCTCCTCCTGACCCACGCGCTCTAAGCAATGGGGGCTGTCATTTTGAAAGTTATAAAAATTCACATCAAAGGCAAAATAAAAAACCAGACATGAAAATCAACTGCACATTCAACAAAAAGGAACAAATTAAAATGCAGTATGCTGGGATCATAAATCCAAAAATAAATATGTAGACAAGAGCTTGGAAAAGCCAGTCTTCCCAACATGCTTTCCCAACGCAAACGGAACCTCTTCCAAAAGCTACCTATTAGAAGGCCTTGTTATTACCCAGCTAATCTCAGTGCTCTGCACTAGCTGGCAGAAGGGGAAACTAATTTGGATGATCCAAAAATCATTTACATTTGGTTTTAGTTGCATTATACGGGGGTGGTAAGTTGGCTACACATTTCCCTCCCTAATTAAGTTTAGAATAATTTTAAATTTTATATTCCCTCTGCGCAAGCCAACTAAGGGCTGCAGACAGTGGCCGGCTGGCAAGGAAAAAAGCCAATCATGGATTTTGTTTTTTAATTGTCATAGATAAGTTATCCACACATAGCTAGTCACAGTGACAGAGTTAGCCTCAGCTCAGGGTGTAAGTGCTGTAGGCATCCAGTGACATCAGGTACATACAATCGAAGGTGTGACCAGATTTGGCCAAGTGTGATATCGCTAAGTGGAAGACCATAAGTCAAAAAAGACCTGTTTTTCTCATTAACACCACACCCCCTTTGTCAATATCCCACACTCATACCCTGATTCTTGCCTTAGTCTGTTAAAGAGAGTGTCCTTGTGTGCCAATTCTGATTCCACAAACCACGCACTTACCGCACCAAAACTGTAAGGCTGTTAGGATTCTTCTCATCTGGGTACTGGCTGGAGTAGACACAGGTGAAGCAGGACTAGAATCGTATTATTTATAAAGCACTGACAGATCCCAATGTTTGTGTTTATATGCTCCAGGAGGTACTGGCTTTGTGGTTGGTTTTTGTCATACCTCAGTCCTCCTAACTGAGCAGTTGGTACATAAGTATATAGTTTTCTACTTTTCTATTTGTCTTTTTAACTATTTGTCTAGATTTCTACTCTTCTATTTCTACTTTGTCTTTTCACTCAAACCTTCACCTTCTGTTTTTTCCTCCCCCTCCCTGCTTCTGTTCAGTTCTTTTTATTTATTGATGTGTGTGAATGGCATTTCGCTGCATATAAGTATGTGTAGCACATGCATGTCAGTGCCCTCAGAAGTCCGAAGAAGGCATTGATTGAATGCTGGAACTTGCGAACCTCCATGTCATTTCTGGGAATGGAGTTCAGATCCTCTCCAAGAGCAACAGGCACCCCTAATCTCTAGGCCATTTCTCCAGCAAGTGTTGTTTGGTTTTGAGACAAGGTCTTATGTAGCCCAGGCTAGGCCTGAATTTCCAATGTATGTGAGGATAACACTGAACTTCTAACCTTCTTGCTTCTACCGCCCAAGTGCTATGATTACAAGGACACACCACCATGGCCAACTCCCTGTTTCACTTTCTGGCTGTGTGATCCTGTGAGGAATACATAAACACCATTCTGAAATTCATGAAAAAAAACTCATAAAGGAATTTAGGAAATATTTAGGGAAACATAAAGGGTCTTCTCAAAATATGAGACCACCATCATTAACTACAACTATAGATCTCTTCAAGTGCCAATCCCAAGTTGGGAGGTTTTCTGTAGCCACCATCATTAGGAAAATAATTTAGTCTGAAGCAAATCAACAGACTAGTCAAATATGTATATTTTCTTTGTTAGTCATTTGATGCATACAAGACAAAATAGTTAAAACTTTAGAAAACGTAATTTAAAAGACATACTTTTGGACGTCTATCTATGCAATTGTGTGTAGGGAGCCGAGAATATGAGAAGTGAACAGGTAACTCTGGCTCCTCTTCTTACAGGCAGCAGATCAGATGACAGCCATCACTACACAAGGAAAAGTTAAGCTATAGGTTTGACTTTGTAGAGATAGAGCAAAACCAATGTTACAGAAGGAGGAGGAGGAGGAGGAGGAGGAGGAGG